GGCGAGAAGTGGGGGGAGCAGCGTGCTGGCTGTTGGTGGGACAGCCAGTGGGAGGACTGTGAGGTGCCAAGGGGAGTGAGGTGCTGGGGGCCGCCGGATTGTCAGGGCTCAAGCCGAGGCAGCCTGGACCAGGCAGGGGCGCGGTGGAGGGGGCACCGTGAAGATGGTGGGACCTCATGGGTCTGGCCTGCCCCTCCACCCACAGATACCCACCCCCACCCTCACCTGCAGCTGAGGCTCCTCAGAAGCTGCAGGGTAGTGGCAGCAGAGGGCGGGCCTGGGCGGTGTGTGCGGTTTGGGGAGAGGACAGGATTGCTCGGTACTGACCTTCCTCTTTTTTTCTCTTTCAGAATTTGATTTCTTCACAAGTGACCTCCTTCTGTATTTATATTTATATGAATTGGCTTTTATTTAGGTTGTAAGTTATGGACTTGGTGCGAGATGCAGGCAGAGTGGTTCGTAAGGAAATAAAGCCCACTGTTTTAGGTCTGGTGCCCGTCCTGGCTCCGGTCGCCCGGCCCGTGCTCGGTCTGAGGTTCAGGCGAGCCTTGGTCCCGTACCCTGGGCTCTGCGAGGCCGGCAGGAAGCACAGGGCCATGGCCCTGCTCAGCCCAGGACGAGCCTCTCCCTGCCTGCCCTCCAGGCTTCTCGACGGCGGTGGGCAGAGGCCGACCACTGTCCGACCATGCCAGCCAGGGCCAGGCCTGCCCGTCCACCCACTGCTTCCTCCTGGCCACCATGCCCTCCTGTCACGCTCAGTGTGGCCACCACTGCCGAGGAAGGGGGACAGCCAGGGGAGGCCTCCAGCTGCCAAGGACCAGGCGGCTGAGCAGATGGTAGATGGGCCCAAGGCCCTGAAGCCGGTGTCACCCACATCCCGGTCACAGAGGTCCCAGCTGGATGGGACCTCTGTGTCCTCCGTGGCCTTTAAAAGAGCCAGGGCTTCCCAGTCGGGAACTGGGGGCCACTGGCCCACCCCTCCCAGCGCTTCCCAGTTGGGAACAGTGGGGGCCACTGGCCCACCCCTCCCAGCGCTTCCCAGTCAGGAACAGTGGGGGCCACTGGCCCACCCCTCCCAGGCGTCCCCTGCCCCCCAGCACTCACGGTGGAAGCTGTATGCAGCTGCCACCTGGAGAACCAGGCAGACGGGGGGACACGGCCACTGGTCCAAGGCGGGGGTGGGGGTGGGGAGCAGCATGGGGCAGGATCCTTCAAGGCAGGGGTGGTTTGGGCAGGTTTCAAGTCTGGGGGCGGGGGGTGGGGGGTGGAGGGGGTGAGGTGGGGACTGATAAGAATGGCCTGGGGGTGGCAACAGGTCTCAGTGTTGCCCAAGAAGGCAGCAGCCACCGTGGGCATAGCTGGATCAGAGGCACCCTTCTCCCTGACCTGGGGCCAGAACAACCCCCAGTGGGGAGTCTGCCCTTGCCCCTCCAGCGGGGGTCAGGTGAGTGGCCTGGCTCCCCAGGGCCCTCCACTGTCCACCCTGGCTGGTGGAAGAGCCTAGAAACTGCAGCCCTTACAAGCCCTGCGCTCAGGCAAGGGCTCGGCTCCCAGCCAGACCCTGGCACCAGCTACAGTAGTGTAAGGACCCTTGTCCCCAGTTCTGCCCGGGGTCACAGCTCCAGGATCACAGACTCTGAAGCCCGGAGTCCCTTCATGAGCTGCAGAGTCCCAGTGCAGCCACGGTTCAGCCCCTCTGCACATAGGACCCACCTCACCGTCCCCATCTGGCCTGGAGTCGGGAACTCAAGTTGCTGGAAAGTTCTGCCTCCCCGGACACCCCCACGGGCTGGCTCTGCGGCCCCTCCCGGGAGTCTGCTACAGAGTTCATGGGCTGTTCTGCGCTCACACCCCTGGGTTCAACCCCCTCCCCACAATGGAGGGCCCAGGCCTGGGCAACTCCCTGCAACTGGACATGGCCCAGGCATTTCTGGGCAGGGCCCCTGAAGCCAGCGTTGGGGGGCAGCCGCCAAGCCTTCCCACTGGCTGGACCTGGAGCTGTTCCCTGCGGGCTCTGCCACATGCACTGCTTTCTTCCGCTCCTTGTCTTTTGGCAAGAGGTGAAAACGCGCTAATTTCGACTGCCTGGAACAGCGCTGGACACAATGAGCTCTCGGTGGCCATAATAGATGACCTGCCCTGCCTTGCCCTCCTGGGATCCCACCCCCACCCCCAGGTGCCCTGCCGAGCCCAACACTGGCTCCCAGCCCCCCAGGAAGGTCACGGTTTGCTTCAAGCAGGGGCTGGCACAGAGGTGCTGGTGGCTGGCACCGGTCTGGGCTGGCTGCCAGGCCAGCAGGGTGGGCACAGGCCCTGTGCAGAGCCACACTGTGACTGGCAGCAGAACCAGGATGAGGGGCTGGAGCCCGGCCGAGGCAACTCTGGGCAACTGGCAGTCGGTGCCTGCTCCCCATGGCAACGCCGCCGTGGGCCTGCCGTGAGCTGGAGGAACCGTACATCCTGGAGTCTGTGGTTCCCACCCACTGCAGGAACGGGCCTGGTCAGGTGCACATGTCTGTGAGCGCTGGACGGGACCCGGAGCTAGGGGCGCCCTGAGAGGTGGGTGGAAATGTCACTCTGCAGGGTGTGAGGTCAGGCCCTTTCTGGGACGAGCCAGCAGCCCATCTGCCCGCCCAGCATGTCCCATCTCACTGCCCACCAGCGGGGGTCCCATCCTACACCCTCTGCCCCGGTCTGGCCCTGGCCCCAGGACTCAGCAGGGGCTCTTCTAAGGGCAGAGCTCAACTTGGGTTGCAGTGAGCCAGGCTGTGTGTCACCTAGCTGGTGAGACGGTGGCAGGGAAGACGGGAGGCCGCAGGCCCCCCGGGATCAGCCCTGGGAGGAGCAGGCTGAAGGGTGAATGGCACAGGTGACAGGACAGAGGACAGGACACAGGTAGGAGAGTGTTCAAACCATTTACTAAGCAAATTTGTAACCTCCCCACGCCCACCCCTAAGCTGCAGAGGGCAGAGCCCCGGCTACAGCTCAGGTTCTGGGGCCCTTGCAGTCCTGGCCTGGGGAACTTTGGGGTGAGACGGAGAGGTCCAGGCCAAGTCCTTTGGTCCCCTGGGCTCAGCTCCCTCCAGTGGGGTTAATGACAGCCGGCAGCTTAGCGTGGGGCCCCTGGGCTCTCTGGCATCAGCAGGGACCTCTGGGATTAAAGGTCACATCCAAAATCTCCCGGGAAGCAGCTACAGTCTGGCGCCCACTGGGCGGAGGGAATCCGAGCCCCACCGCGGTCAGGCCAGCACAGCGCACAGAAAAGGAAACGCTGGGTCCTCCGACCGCGCATCGTCCGCAGAGAGCAGCGTCTGGCTGGTGGTGATCGGAAAGGACGGGCCGCGGGCGCGGGTAGGGACCGGGGTGACCCTCGTCCATGCGCACCGCCTGGCGTTCCAAGGAGTCCGTGTGCGGTGCGCCCATGGAGGGCTCTCCCGGGCCGGTCCTCTGGCTCGCAGACGTGGCTGGTGTAAGAAGCCCCGCC